TCAAAGTGTTTGTCTTCTGTGTAATTGTGCCATTCTTGCGTGTCGTGTCAAGAAATCTCACTGGCACTCTCGACACGACACGCAAGAATTGTACAATTACACAGAAGACAAACACTTTGAGTGAGTAGAAATACTTTGATTGAATATATAAAATATATTTTGCATTGTATAAATTCACTTTTCCACATCCAAAATGTAATTGTAATATTTAACAATGTTTGTAAATCCCAGGCTCTGAAGATGATCTCAATAAAGATCGAAACGTTGGCACGATAAAGAAAATGTTTTTCTAAAACCTACATCACACCAGACCGCATCTCACGATTTCTAAATAAATATCGATTAACGGTCACTAATCACCACACATACTTTGTAACTAAAATGCTGAAATTATTTGCATATGTCAATTTAAATTTGGCAATAAGCTGGAATTACCGTTTTTAAAAAACAGTAATCTGAAAGAGCTCAGGTGGAAAAATAAACCCGTGTAATAAAAGGGTAGCTTAAGGTTGGCAAAAAATAGATAGGCACCTTGTTATTATATTAAATAAAAATGATCTTTTAACCAGAGAATTTTTTTTCAAAATGCGTTATTTGGTTTGTTAAAACTTAATTAAAACCACTAGTTTTCGTGGTCCGCTTGACCAATCTATTTCAATTAATTAAGGTTTTTAGTTGAGACAAAAAAGTCAGTGTTACGAGCGGGATTCGAACCCACGACCCTCGGTTAGATACGCCGCTACTCCACCAATCGAGATATCGTTATTTCGATCCACTCGGACAAAAGGTGGGGTTGAGAAGGGAAGTTAGTGTTCAAGTGGATCGAGGTCACGATAGCTCAGTGGTAGAACAGCGGCGCATCTAGCCGAGTGTCGTGGGTTCGAATCCAACTGGTGACACTGGATTTTTTATCTCAATTAAAAACCTTAATTAACTGAGAGATATTAATTGGTCAAGCGGACCACGGAAACTAGTGAATTTAAAAAATTAAATAAAAGATATAAAAAAAGTCAATGTCACGAGCGGGATTCGAACCCACGACCTTCGGCTAGATACACCGCTACTCCACCACTCGCGCTAGCGTGATCTCGATCCACTCGGCCAAAAGGTGGGGTTCAGATGAGAAGTTAGTGTCCAAGTGTTCGAGGTCACGCTAGCTCGAGTTGTGGAGTAGCGGCGTATCTAGCCGAGGGTCGTGGGTTCGAATCCCGCTCGTGACACTGACTTTTTTGTCTCAACTAAAAACCTTAATTAACTGAAAGATATTAATTAAAACATTGAAATATGCGGCTTCTGTTGTGAGAATTTAAATGGAGTCCTGCTTGAACATGTTTCTGTTAATTAAGCTATAGATTATTACTAATGGTTCAATTTGAGTTACTAACTGCGATAACTATAAACACGAGTAGAGCGATTTTATCACACAAGGATGAATGCGGACAACGACGGTACGATATTATCAGTTCAATGGATTTTCATCCGGTACATTTACAATCCCGGATTAGTCAAGATAAATCTAAAAGAACAAGTAGTTCTCAGAACAATTGTTATTTAAATATCTGCAAAGAAAGGAATATTTATGAAAAAAATTCGCCATCACCGCCGGGCGGACCGTAACTTTTCCAACGGCTATATATTGTTAGACGCCAGTAGTTGCTTGTGACACTAAACGTGATATTTGTCACCCCCGTTTTCCACCCTGCATCCACTTTAGAAATCACAAACATAGACGTTTTTTATCTCTTTGCCAAAATTTTACATTTTTGTTCTTTACCCCGTGCTAATTTACCCCCTGCTATCATCAATCATTTGACGGTTTCTCTGGTAAAAAAACCAAACTAATTCGGCCAAAAACCGCTAAAAGCTTTTACTGAAGTCGACATAAAACGAGTAATCACTTTAGACTTTAAGCTGGTTGTATAATTTCTAAATTCATGAATACTGTATGTAATCTATAATACAATATATAGGTGCTTTGGTATAAATGGACATTATAAATTAAACGTGCCTTCTGGCTAAGTACCTAGTTCATTCTAATATCGAATCGGCTGCTTCATATAGCAAACTTCATAATTGCTTGGGGGCTTACTTAACTAATCCATTAGTCGGAAGTTATATACCAAGTTTTTCAGTACATCTTCATTTGATTAATATTATTTTTTAAAAACTTTTTAATTAATCTTTATATAAGGTATTAGTTGAGATAAAAAAGTCAGTGTCACGAGCAAGATTCGAACCCACGACCTTCGGCAAAATACGCCGCTGCTCTACCACTTGAGCTATCGTGACTTCGATCCAGTTCAATTCTGCCATTGTAAGCTGCGTATGTGGATTCAAAGTCAAAATTTTGTCCATGTACACTCCCAAGTATTTGACGCGATGCAGAAAGTAAAATGTGATTTTTTTTAAAAACGAGTTTTTTTATTTTAACCATAGTTCTAAGGTAACAACGTTCGATCAAACCGCTGGTACAAGATGGAGATTTGAGAGAAGTTTGTTTAGTGCTTGAAGGGTTTTTAAAGCTATTTTTCTTGACCCGACTTTAACACATTCTCCAGGACGCATTGTTTCGGTTCTAGTTCTCTGTAGGTGAGAGAGCAGCCTCTTTTTTGCCTAGCTAGCAAGACTGTTTATTTTTTTCATACCTTGATGTCCAAACCACTGTTACAAGTGAACACGAGAGAGAAAAAAAAGTATCGTGGACGAGAGTTTACTACCAAAATGTCGGAATACGGAGTGAAGACATGGTACACGGCGCTATACCACCCGCAGGCTAACACGACGGAACGAATAAACCTAGTGATAAAGACGATGATGGCGTCTTACATTCGAGACAATCAGTGGCACTGGGACAAGGAACTCTCGAAACACCGCAGTACAAGAAGCAACCGGGTACACACCACCATATTTGAATTATGGGCGAGAACTGACCCGTTCGGGTGGAGAATATCTAGGAGAAGGAACGAAAGGAAGTCACGACCCTGGAGGTAGATCGGAAGTCTCACCAAGGGATATTACATCAGGTGCCGACACTCTTCCGAGAGGTACAGGATCGACTTGATCGGGCGTATGAGAGATCAAGAATGGTCTATAATCGAGGGACAGGAGGTATAGTGTCACAATTATGTCCAATCAGATGCCGCCAGATATATCTCCAGTAAGTTGACTCCCCGCTTCTCTAAAGCTAATATTAAGAGAAAACTGTCTCCCTTGGTGTCTGTGTTGGAGAACGAAGAAGGCCGGAGCTTAGGCCAATGGCATGTAAAGGACCTACAACCCCACCCCGGAAGTCAAGACTCCATGGAGTAAAGAAAAAAAAAGGTTAACCTTTTTTTGGGAGGAAGGAGTGGAAATGTTACAAGTGAACACGAAAGAAAAAAAGATTTTTTTGCACTGGGGTGACCAGACTCGGGCATAGGCGAGGGTGCCCTCGGCAAGATTGAGCGAGGTCTGGAAGAGGCCGAAGACGCACGGGCGGCATTTGGAAGATGAAGGAAGCCCAGCCAGGGCTCAGCGGGGTCCGAAGGGAGTGAACAAGGAGGCCTCGAGCTGAGACTGGTCGTTGTGGACGAGCGAGGCGAAAAATTAAAACGTGACAGTGTATTATTTTATTATTTTTGGGACTTTTCTCATCGTCGTAGAGTGGAGGGTTCGCGTGTGCGAGGGGAGAACCGTTCTGGAACGACGAGAAAAAGGACGTACACGAGGTTCGAGCTTTAAAGTTATAAGATGGGTTTCTGGACAGTTTTTTGGTTTTAATTTTGAAGAGACTTGTTTTATTTATTTATTTTTTTGTTTGTTTTACATCTTTTTCTTAATACAGAGGACATTAATATTTTATTTTCTTGTGTTTTTTTATTTATTTATTTTTTTTTAATTTGTTATTTTGTTATTTCACCCCAAGGGTTTCACTGTTTTCCTAAAGGAAGAAAATAAAATAAAAACAGTGTGGTGCTCGATTATTCCCCTTTTTGGAGACAAAGCGACCACGGGGAAAAAATCTCCACTGAGTCCCAGGTACCCGGCGACCGGGTGAATTGCCAATGGTCCGGCGAGGAACCGTAACACACCTTCAAATAATCAGTATTTTTCCAAATGCCCATTACGTCATTGATGCAATACAAGTTAGTTTGAAGCTAAAAGTTATGAACCCACAAAAATTAAATCCGTGTATCTTTCATTTTGAACAACTCCAATGCAAAGAGTGGAGTTCACCTTGAAAGATCGGTACTGGGGCGAGGGGAATTACTAGGGAATATTTCTGGCCTATTTTCCTTAAACTTACTTCCTGTGCCATCTATGATCCATCAATGTGGATTGCTTGATGAAACATAGGATTGTTTTACAATCAGATATTTGTGTTTTATACGATTACAGAGATTTTCTGTCAAAATTGGGTCTCCTCTAATTTTGTCAGGTTATACGTTTATAGCCATCTCATTTATTTTAAGGATATCAAGAGTTTTATTATGGCCTCTATATTTTGTATTTTACTACGGACTTCATAGTGAACAAAAAGTAAAAAAATCTATTTTATAATAAGTAAATATTTATAATAAGGAAAGACACACAAAATATATTAAAATAAATATTTAATAACGACTGTTTGTCGAAACAATAGACGACTTGGATCGTCCAACTAGAAATGCCTGGTTAACCATTTTACAAAATGTTGAGGATCGAAAAACTTTTCGATTTCAATGGAAAACCTTGACACATGAAATGAATGGAATTAAATAGGAATATCATTATCTTGAAACGTTGAACGTCCTATTGTCAGATTGTTTGACATTTGATTACTTCGTACAGAACAAATTAAACCGCTTCCTTTTCATATATTTTTAACGGCCGGGAATAAAAGCCGTTTAAAAACGTTTCAAAAACCGAACACAATCTTTTCAATATAATTTAAATAAAACCGTTATAATAGATTAAATAATAAAATATTAAAAGCTATCGTTTTAATTATTACTTATATGCATAAAAAAAGGCTAATTTACCTTTGCCTAATGTGGGACACAATCAGAACTCCTGAAACATAAAAATAAAGCATTATTTCAGATAGATAGATCATTTTATTTCGACATAATATTTTTTATACAAAACTTCAAAATTTCAGTAGGTGCTTGTGCAATCTCAATTAATGACCTTCCAACCCATTTTAAAAAATTGCGTGTATAATTATACTTAAAATATAATTAAATTAATTAATCTTTATGTATGTTATTGGTTGTGATAAAAAGTCAATGTCACGAGCGGGATTCGAACCCACGACCTTCGGCTCAATACGCCGCTGCTCTACCACTTGAGCTATCGTGACTTCTATCCACTCGGACACCAACTTCCCATCTCAACCCAACCTTTTGAATTTTTCCTCCTTTTTGCCATTTTTCAAATATTGTGTAATCTATTTGATTCTCGGCGACAAATGAAATGGCCATGTAGAGCTTTAGTGAAGATATACTTCATTTAACTTATTAAATTCATTAGATTTCGTGGTCCGATTGAACAAATCGCATCTTTCAATTAAATAATATTTATGTAAGTTATTGGTTGAGATAAAAAAGTCAGTGTCACGAGCGGGATTCGAACTCACGACCTTCGAATAAATACGCCGATGCTCTACCACTTGAGCTACCGTGACTTCGATCCACTCGGACAATAAATTCTCATCTCAACCTAACCTTTTGAATTTCCCCTCCTTTTTGCCATTTTATAATTAATAATTAATTGCTATAAAAGTAGGGAAAATTCGGAAGGTTGGGTTGAGATGGGAAGTTGGTGTGCGACTAGATCGAAGTCACGATAGCTCAAGTGGTCGAGCAGCGTTGTATTCAGGTCGTGGGTTCGAATCCCGCTCGTGACATTGACTTTTTTCATCCCAACCAATATCTTACTTAAAGATTATTTAATTGAATGATGTTATTTGGTCAATCGGATCACGAAATATGATAAATTTAAAATATAATACTTTAAAATTAAAGAATACCACAAAACACTGTCACAATACAACTATCATTCTTTACATCAACTGTGTAATATAAGAAAGCGTCGGTGGCAGTTACAGTTAAGGCGTTTCTCACTGTAAGGTCTCGGGTTCGAACCGAGCCTCCTAGTTAAAATTCCACTGGAATGTGTAGAGAGCTCGAGGACCGATCGAGAGGTTTGGGTGAAATTTTGTATTCGGGAACGGATTAGTTTGTTGAAAAAAGGATTGCTTGACGACTTTGAGTGCAAGGATTCGATGCACTGGATGTTGGACGGTTTGGCAGAACCCCACAGTTCCTCTTAGTAGGTCTAAAATGATCACGGTAATGTCTAGTACAAGGGTAAAGACGGTAAACACAGTTTTCGAACCTAGAAGTCTTCGTAATTGTTCAAGTTTTCTGTTAAGTTGTTAATTCATAAGTCTTTGCCTTGGGATTCCACGTCAGTACGCTGTCTAGGTATAGTCCCCAAGTATTTGATTTGAGTGAAAGTCGGTATACTTTTGTTGTAGATGTACAGTGCAAGTCTGTTTTTTTAGTACATTGTTCTTAATTCAGTCTTGTCCTTCACTTTTTTCTACCTGTCTTCAATAAGCAGAAGGTGTTCTTGGAAGTTTGGTAAGCTTGGATAAAACTGAATAGAATAGAATAGTATGGGGCCAAAAGTGCTCCCTCTTGGGGCTTGCATTGGTCTGACTTTAGAGAACTCCTCCCCTCACCACATTCTGAAGCAGCTGTCAGTTACAATATCAAGATAAGATAATAACGAAAGGGTAGAAATCATTTAAGTTTATAAAGAATGCCCGGTTACCAGATCTTTATTCTCTTAAGTAAAATAATATAGTGTTGGAATGATAAAGACGGAAGGCGAATTGGGAGAACGAATGATTTTATAAGTAGCAGAAGATTCACAAGGATTTGGACATTGAAGAAAAACGAATAACAATGGAGTATTAAATTCACTAATTTCGTAGTCCGCTTGACCAATTAATATATTACAATTAATTAAGGTTTTTAGTTGAGATAAAAAGTCAATGGCACGAGCGGGATTCGAACCCACGATCTTCGGCTAGATACGACGCTGCTCTACCACTTGACCTATCGTGACCTCGATCTACTCGGACACGAACTTCCCATATCAACCGCACGTTTTGAATTTTCCCTCCTTTTTGCCATTTTTCAAATGTCGTGTAATCGGAATATGTAACAATGGAATATGTTCATAAGAGAGGAAATGGTTCGTACGATTACACACTGCCTATCACAAAAAAAAATCCGACCAACTAGTTTTTACACAAAAAAATGGACATCTTTGGAATTGCCTATTTTCTTAGCTTTTAAAGTCACAGATCTGCGCTAAATCTCATTTTTTAGAAAATTTTACTCTGATGGATTTTATAAACGTTTTCCTAGTTTCAGACATTCATCTGTAAACTCAAAAATTCTGGAACAATTTCAGTCAATTTTTGGATTTTTTACAAAACGACATTGAGTTGAAATTGAGCAGTGGAGTCAGAAAATCGCCTGCAGCGACGCCCTTTAGCAATCGATAAGAAATTTAACAATATTTCAATTGGTCACCTTCCACTTTGCCCGATTTTTTTTTAGTTTTTGAGTTATTCGCGATTTTTGGGCAAAAAACGCAGATTTTTACGTGCTCATGGATAAACCGATTTGAACCGTCAGGATTTAGCAAATTTTACGATCTACAACTTTTGTACCAAGGACGTTTTCAAAAAGTGACCAGGGTAGGGACAATTCTTACTTTGACCTTTTGGGATGCGGAATGCTTCTGCTATCAAATACCACTCGTTTATTTCATCACGGAAATTAATTTTTCCTTCACGTTCACAAGGTTGTGTGGCAGTTTGGCTTCGAATGACGTATTGAAAAAATAGGTTTATGTATGGTAAAATGGAGAGAGAAAGTGATTCGATTTTTCCTGAGCACGTAAAAAACCACGTTTTTATCCAAAATTTGCGAATAACTCGAAAATGGTTGATGAATCGGGCTAAGTGGAAGGTAACCAATTGAAAGTTTATTGAAATTTCATATCGATTGCTAAAGGGCGTCTCCCTAAGACGATTTCCTCCACAGCTCAATTTGAAATTTTCGTAAAAATAGAGTTTTTTTGTTGAGATAAAAAAATCAATGGCACGAGCGGGATTCGAACCCACGATCTTCGGCTAGATACGACGCTGCTCTACCACTTGAGCTATCGTGACCTCGATCCACTCGGACACTAACTTCCCATCTCAACCCCACCTTTTGAATTTTTCCTCCTGTTTGCCATTTTTCAAATATGGTGTAATCGGGTTGGATTCTCGACGACAAATGAAATGGCCACGGAGAGCTTTAGTGAAGTATACTTCATTTTAAATCATTAAATTCACTAATTTCGTGGTCCGCTTGACCAATTAATGTATTACAATTAATTAAGGTTTTTGGTTGAAAAATGGCAAAAAGGAGGGAAAATTCAAAAGGTGGGGTTGAGATGGGAAGTTAGTGTCCGAGAGGATCGAGGTCACGATAGCTCAACTGGTAGAGCAGCGGCGTATCGAGCCGAAGATCGTGTGTTCGAATCCCGCTCGTGCTATTGACTTTTTTATCTCAACCAAAAAACCTTAATTAATTGTAATATATTACTTGGTCAAGCGGACCAGGAAATTAGTGAATTTTCGTAAAAAGTTCAATTGAAAAGAATTTTTCAATTTACTAATGAAAGAGTGAAACTAGGAAAACATTTTAAAAAACCAACTTGTTCACCTGAAAATTTTCTACAAAATGGTACCTAACGCAGGTCTGTGACTTAAAAGGCTGAAAAAAATGAATTGTGTATATCTTGTTTAAAAAACTTGTGCTTTTTGTGGAAAGTTTCAAGTTATGGTGATTGTGATAAAATCATTGGAAATGTAGTACTACAAAAGGATATTCTAAAATATTTTTTTTAAAGTGTAAATATTTGTAAAATGTTTTCCAAAAGAGAAATCAGTTTCATAAATTACTCATTAATTGTTTAGACAGCATTTCAAGCGAACGTCGGTTTGCATCATAGAGAATATTATTTATGAAATTACCGCAGCCGATGTCAAATATGCTAATTAATTTGCATTGATTGAAAACTAGAATGGAATTAGTAATTATAACAAGTAATTTTAGTAAACAGAATAAATGTTTAATTATTTTGTTCTTGTATACACTTTTTTGTTCTTTGTATTTGACAGTAAAAATCACGAGTGCCAAACGGTATATTTTAAAGTGTCCGTTAATACATGCTGAGCGGTTTCCAATAATGATCCTATCGTTAAAAGATCGTGTTGTTTTATTTTCTCTCCTGAATCCTTTGTAGGAAGCCGAATATGCAAATTGGATTGGAAAGGCGATGACACAGTGCGGGACCCTGTTTTGTAGTCGTGTTTTCACTCGGGGAAATAACAGGCCGACACATCATCGCCGGAGTGGATTTACATTTCAAATTTTCGACGTCCGACTATTGAAACCGGCCGTTGAACAGTGGTCCGATGGAATTTTTGGATTAGGCACCGGCTCAAGAGGGGGCGGCTAATGAAAATTGAAACGCGAAGATTTAACATTTAAAATTGATTGAAGAACAATATTGAAGGCGGCCGAGTGGGATTTGAATTGCAAATAAAAAGTAAAGGAAACGCCTTGTAATTATAAACCAGGAAAGAGAGAAAAAATTTCACTATCCTGGAAATTATATTTATTTAATCACCTTAACATTTCCGTAAAAGAAGCCTGTTTCTTCCACAAAATTAATTTGCTTAGTTTTCAAATCTCAATTAATTTAGTAAGAAAATAAATTTATAAAAAACTCACTCCATTTTTTTTAACGTGTGAGGTGTTTAGTGACCGTTAGTCAATGATTATTCGGAAATCGTGAGATGCGGTCTGGTGTGACGTAGGTTTTAGAAAAACATTTTCTTTACGGTACCAACGTTTCGATCTTTATTGAGATCTTCTTCAGGGCCTGGGATTTACAAACATTGTTTACATTTAAAAAATACATGTAGGATGTGAAAA